CTACTAAAGACTTAACTATAGATATTACTACTCTAGATATACTATACGCTACTACCCTCTAGCTTAGCTAATAATTTAACTCTAGATTCTACTACCCTAGCTACTATATATCTAGCTTAGGTTATAATCTAAATACCTACTACCCTGCTCTATAGTACCCATCGATCGGTACTAAGACTTTTTATACGATAAGTAGGCTGCGCAGTGGCGCGGGTTAACCCGACCCTACCCGCGTTAGGGCTACCCTAAGGGTTGGGCCGGGTAGGCACCCCGTAGCCCAACGGGCGCCCCGAGCGGGTACCTAAAATATAAGCCCTACCCGCGGTACCCAATAGGGCCGGGCCGCCCTAACGGGCGGGTACGACCCTCGAAAAAATTACCGTATTTTACAAAAAATACGCGATTTTACTAGGAAATATTTAAAAATACCGTACGGTATTGTAAATTAGTAAGCGATTACGTAAGAAAAATCGCTATTTTTAGCGAAAAACTCGCTATTTTTAAGAATTTTGGGTTCTTGGCAAAACCCGTCGGGTACCCTACCCTACCCGAAACCCGTGAGGGTAGGGTAGCGCTTTTTTTAAAAACCCTATTGGGTCAACTGGGCGGGCGGTAGGTGCCCCAAACCCTGCCCTACCCAACCCGTTGCGCAGCCTAACGATAAGTACTAAGAAAATTTCGAGCGCCCGTATCGCTCGATATCTATTAAATAATCTCTCTTTTTTTTCGAAATAATCTATCTTTAGATCCTCTACTACTAGTATATAAAGTTTTAAGTAAATTAAAGTATTACTTATTAGTTAAGAGTCGAAACCCTAATTATACGATTTAGTAGTAGAAGAGTTACTAAGACTCCGAATATTTATTATTAAAATCTAAAAATAACGACTATTCTCTATTAAAGTATAGTTAGTTTCTAATACGCTATATCTTTCGAGACTAGACTTAGTTTTATCGATATATCTATCGATCTTATTAATTTAATCTACTAACTCTAATATTATAATACACGCCTCGCTCTACTAGAGACTTAGATTATCTATTACGAGCGCTCCTTAGGAATAGAATAGATATATTATATTTCTCGAGACTAGACTCGACTTTATCTATACGTCTCTAGATCTTATAGATCTAATCTACTAACTTTAATATTACGATATATCTCTCGCTATACTAGAGACTCTAGTTATCTATTACGAGCGCCCTTTATTTTTATCGATATATTATATAAAAAGTATAATCTATATTTCGAGTTTTATAATTTTCTAATATACGTTTATAAATAATAAGCTACGACTCGTAAGAAACGTATAGTAAGTAAAGTAAGAGTAAAGTAAGAGTAAAGTAATAGTAAGACGTATTAGTCTTTTCGTAAAGTCTTAGTACTTATTTAAAACTTAACTACTAGTATGTACGCTAAGACTCGTCTACTACTACGTATATCTATAAGTATTTCTACTTCTCTTTCTTTACTTCTTTCTTTCTTTATATTACTTATAATTAGTCTCTTTTCCCTTCTATAAGTAAGGCCCTATTCTTTTTTTTCGAGCCGTACTAATTTAGATAGCGATTCGTCTTTTTTAATTTTAAAATCTCTCTAAACTATAAGTTATACTAATATTATTTTTTTCGATATATATACTAATCTAGACTTAGTCTTAATAAATATAATAAATCTCTTAACTTCGATACTCTCGACTTCCTTACGCTCGACTTTATTCCGACTTCTCTTTAACTTAAATAATAATAGTTTATTATTTAAAAAAAGAAGAATAATATTATAAAAACTAACTCTAATTATACTATTTAATAACGTTTCTATAGTACTTAAGTAAGTTTCGAAGATAGACTCGAAAAAGGCGAAAGCTAACTCGAAAAAAAAGAAAGAGAGCTAAAATTTAGCGAACTACTAATCTAGATAGTCTTAAAAGATCTATTACTAACTTTAACTTTATAAAGAAGAAGCTTTTATAATAAGTCTTTAACTTTTTCGACGCTTAGCTTACTTTCTTTAAAATCTAAAAATTAACTCTTTTTTTTTAAATAGTACGCGTTTCTAGCGAAATATCGGAAAAACGAATATTAAGACTAAATACTAGTTCTATTATCGTAGCGATAAGATATTTTTCGATATATTCGTTATTAAAAATAAAGCTAATTTCGAAAATCTCTAGATAATTTCTATTAAGAGAAGAGCGTTTAACGATATCGAAGTAATTAAGTATTTAATATAATAATAATAATAATTCAATTATAGTCTAATCTAGCTTCTATGCAGGACTACGTAGACTTTTCCATCTTTTCTAGAGAAAAACCCTTTACTAAGAAAACCCTCGTCTTACCTTTATAAGGCGTATATATAGAGTATACGACTTATCTTCATTCCGCTTATATTCTCGCTTAATTCTTCCTATCGATTATAAAAGATCTCTCTCTCGTTACTACTCCCTACTATTCTGTAGGGTATAGTATAGTAGAGTCTTCTTCTTCTCTATCTTCTTTATAAGTCGAAACTACTTAAGGACTCCTAAGGCGACTAGCTAGCGAGCCGTATACGCCGCGAGTACTAGACGTAATAGAATCTCGTCTAGTCTCGCTATCTTATACTATCGTAATAGTTCGACTCTTTTATATCTTAGGTAGTATAGTAGGACGTATTATATAATCTAAGTATATATTCTATATAAATAGAGCGTAATCGCGTTCGATACTCTAATCGCCGTAAGCTACGATTCTAGATCTATTATCTTAATTCGTATTAGGAATAGAACTATCGCTTACGTCTTTAAAAGACTCGCGTAGAGCTTACGCCTATTCTATTTCTATAACGTCGTCTATATCGTTAAAGAATATCTTCTTTTAAGCTTATTTTATATCGCTTTCTATTACTCTCTCTACTACTCTAAGGATATCTTATATACGTACGTTATATTCGACTCGGGCGCTCTCGATCTTTAACCGCCTCGATAGATCTATATACGTCTTATATTAATCTCTCGCCGCGTACTAGCTATTATCTTCTATCTCGCTAGAGTCGGCCTAAGGTCTCGCTCTCGTTTCGCTCTCGATATCGTCTTCTAAACTCGATTCGCTACTAGCTATATACTTCTCTCTATTAGATAGTATACGATTTATAGTACGTATTTTCTATCTAGATCGATAACTATAATATCTAGTAGAGGGGTATATATTTTCTTCTTAAGCGCTACTTTCGGCGTTCTTCGGTATATACTTATTACTCTTCTTAGATATTAGTTCTATACCCTCTTAAGCGGTATTAGTCTCGATAGTAAGAGCGTACTCTATACGAGGCGTATACTAACTTTCTATACTTTATAGAGGAGTATAGATCGTATCGTAGAGATATAGAGAAGTTTTATATTCCTAGTAAAGAGTCTCTACGTCGATATAGCTAGTCTTACTAAGGTCTTCGAGGCTACGAGCCTTTTACGAGCTATATATATAATATACTCTTTCTACGTAAGCTTCGGATCGAGTTATATTTCGAGAATCTTAATCGTCTTCTCTTTCGAAAGGATCTTCTTATTAGCGATTCGTATACTCTTTCTCTACTAGTTATCTACGGCGCGCTTCTTTATAAAGTAGATTAGCTAATACTTATTTAGAGCGAGCTTCGCCCCGTACTAGTCGGTCTACTATTTATAGACCTTATATACTCTTATAAGTCTTATATAGTTATTCTTCTTCGATAGTTTTTAGGCGATAAAATTTATATTATTAATAAAGCCGAAGATTAATATATTATTTTCGTATAAGTCGAGTACGTCTAGTAGTCCTAAGATATAGAAGAGAAAGAGGATTAGTAAGAGTAGAGAGCCCTATAGGATTCCTATATTTATCTTAATCTAGTTACTCTTATATCTAACGTATATTATTCGGGTATATCTTCTACTTAAGAAGCTCTTAATAATCTTAACTAGCTAGAGAAGAATTCTCTTAATCTTAAGGATATTAAGAAGCTATCTATACGAGATATTATCGAATACGCCTTAGATATTTAGACTTAGTATAGAGACTACGCTTCCGAGCCGCGCCTTCTACGTACGCTTTATATATATTATAACTAGACTAACGGCCGAGAGCGTCGAGCGATCTCTTCGCGTCTTTATCTAGCTCTATAGAAGAAGATTATATTTCTCGACT